AAACGATGAGTTCACGTCCTTTGTAGGGACATGGATGAACCTGGAAACCATCATTCTCAGCAAACTGACACAAGAGCAGAAAATCAAACACCGCATATTCTCACTCATAGGCGGGTGTTGAACAATGAGAACACAGGGACACAGGGAGGGGAGCACTACACACTGGGGTCCATTGGGGGGAAATGGGGGAGGGACGGGGGGTGGGGAGGTGGGAAGAGATAGCATGGGTAGAAATGACAGATACAGGCAAGGGGACGGAAGACAGAAAACCACATTGCCATATGTGTACCTATGCAACAATCTTGCATGTTCTTCACATGTACCCCCAAACCTAAAATGCAATTAAAAAATAATTTTAAAAAAATCGATGATTTAAGAAAAAATATAGAAGTCATAACTGCACTGTGGGAAATGTGGATAATGGGGAAAGGGAACTGTAATTGACTGGTTAGGACATGGGTTCTGGAGCCAGTCATGTGGGTTCAAATACCAGCTCCACCCCTAGCAGCTGTGTGATGCTGGGCAAGTGACTTCATCTCTCAGGTTGCTTCTCTGTAAGATGGGAACGGTAATAGCACCTACATCCTAGAGTTCTTACGAGGATTAAATAAGTGCATGTTTGTTAAGTACTCAGTAATCACCGTAAGTGTGGGTAAAATAAAAGAAGCATAAATGCATGCGTACCATGATACCACTTCCTTTTCTTCCATTTGGGGGAACAGAAGTTCCTCCTCCTACCGACAGTTTTAGGTTCCTGACTGCTGAGAAGTTCATTTTAAGTCCAAATGACCTGACGGATGACCAGTGGGTGCACATATACAGATTTTTTTTTTCTCTCTCTTCTAGGTTGGAGTGTAATGGTGCCATCTCAGCTTACTGCAACCTCCACCTCCCAGGTTCAAGCAATTTTCGTGCCTCAACCTCCCGAATAGCTGGGATTACAGGCATGTGCCACCATGCCTGGCTAATTTTTGTATTTTTGTAGAGACAGGGTTTCACCATATTGGCCAGGCTGGTCTTGAATACCTGACTTCAGGTGATCTGCCCATCTTGGCCTTCTAATGTGCTGGGATTGTGAGCCACCATGCCTGGCCCACATACACAGAATTTTTTTTTTTTTTTTTTAAGGCAGAGTCACGCTCTGTCACCCAGGCTAGAGTGCAGTAGCATAATCTCAGCTCACCACAACCTCTACCTCCTGGGTTCAAGCGATTCTCCTGCCTCAGCCTCCTGAGTAGCTGGGATTACAGGTACGCACCATCACACCCGGCTAACTTTTGTATTTTTAGTGGAGATGTGGTTCCACCATGTTGGTCAGGCTGATCTTGAACTCCTGACTTCATGATTCACCTGCCTCAACCTCTCAAAGTGCTGGGATTACAGGCGTGAGCCATCGCACTTGGCCCAGAATTTTAATTTTTTCCCCACCGTAAGCCTGTGTCTCTTCTCACTAGGACACTGCTATTGCTTTTGCACTTACTGGACAAGATGGAGTTAATTGTGTCCTTTAAACATCTCAAAAGTAAGCACATATCCACAGAATGCACATGTACACACAGCACTGGGAAGCCATTCATGAGCGTGAGCTGGAACCTGGAACCTGAGAGGGCCAGGCTGAAATGTGGATCATGAAACACTGCTTGCTCTTTATTATTTTTTCCTGGACCATGGTTTTGCTGTTATCTGTGAAAGTTTGAAATCTGAGAGTTTGTAAGGAGAGGGGCTTTCGTGCTGGAACTGCTGGCAGCCGTGGCTCGTTTGGACATGCTCCGTGTGCCCTTCGCGTGTTTGCACTCCTGTGCTCATAGTGCTGAGCTGCTTTTCATGGAGCTGTGTGTTTTGTTACGATCGTCGTTTTTGGGGCTCCGTAATATGCCTTCGAGGCCCCTTTCTCCTGGATACATTCCAGGATTGTCTTCTCCCTTTTTCTTCCCTGGTTTACTTTTGTTTTAGTTCCTACCTTTTCCTTTCCATTGAGTACCCTTCTCCCCTCCATATTCCCAGTATTTTCCCCCGAGGGAGCAGTGGAGGGAGAGCTTTCCACAGTGGGCCGCCGCCCTCTCCTCCTCTCCAAGCCCATACCACCTATGGCTTGTGGAGTCGGTGGACGTTGTGTCCCAGACTCAGTGACCAAGTGACCCTGTAATCTCACAACCGCACTTCCTTACATGGGGCAGGGTGAAGGGTAGAGGGTGCGTATCTTACCCTCCGTAATATGCCAGGTGCCCTGTAAACATTCTCGGGGGCTGCTTGTGCATTTGGTAGGATGGATGCACTTGCTTACCAACAAGTAGTTTGTTTACAGAGTGCCTCAGCGCTTGCTCCCTGCATGCCAGGGCCAATCCAGGTGAACTGGGGGGTCCTGCTACCCACTGTAAGCTCCAGGCGTAGCACAGAAGACCATAGAGTGCCCCTGGCAGTCAGCCTTTCCTCTGCTGTGTGCAGCCCATGGGAGAAAAATCTCTGGAACCTTCTGAGACGAGGTGCGGGCACATGAGTTCGGTGTTAGGTGATGTTTAGTTCTGCACCTGCTAATGCAGTACGTTGGTTCATTGTTGAGAAAGAGGTGGTTCCTATGCCCAAATTTTTGTGTCCCTGTCGTCCTAGGAATCTGGAAGGCTTGCTCTTAGGAGAATGCAGTTCCATCCATCGTTTGGTGGGTTATTTTAGCAAACTGATATCCACAGGGTGAAATGTAGCCAGCCTTCATAGTAAATTGCTCAGTTTGCCAGTGTCCTCTATTAACAAAAAAATCTTAGAACCCCTCTAGCTATGAAAAGATTCCTTCATTTGGTGTTATTTCCAGCTAAGCTTTCAGAAACTAAGCTCATTACATTGCAGATGATTCACTGGGGATATAAGATAACTTCATTTTTTTTTTAATTAAAAAAACCTTTGTTTTCATTGTTAAAAACTATTAAGGATGTCACTATTTTAAAAATTTCATTTTCATTATGAATAAAGCATACCCAGTTGGTATGTTGGTTCAGGTCATTGCTGTATATAATATATTTTCTTACACTACTTGCCTTAGATTCATGCATCTAGGAGGCCGTGGTTAAGATTGTGCTCACTTGCTTCCTCTGTGGTGCCCCGCATGGTGCCACAGTGAGCACGTCATGCCCACAGGTCTTTAGGAGAGGTTTGCTTTTTTTTTTTCTGTGATTTTTTTTTTTTTTTTTTTTTTAATACGGAATTTCACTCTTGTTGCCCAGGCTGGAGTGCAATGTCATGATCTTGGCTCATCACAACCTCCACCTCCTAGGTTCAAGCGATTCTCCTGCCTTAGCCTCCCAAGTAGCTGGGATTACGGGCGTGTGCCACCATGCCTGGCTAATTTTATATTTTTAGTAGGGATTGGATTTCTGCATATTGGCCAGGTTGGTCTTGAACTCTCAACCTCAGGTGATCTGCCCGCCTCTGCTTCCCAAAGTGCTGGGATTACAGGCATCAGCCACTGTGCCCAGCCTTTCTGTGATTCTAAAACAAGCTGAAGAAACTGTTTTGGACCCAGTACACTGCATTTTACCCAGACCGCTCACATTTTAAATCAGGAAAGTCCTAGTTTCAGTTATTTGTATCATTGATGTTGACGTCTGCACCTCAAACCTTGTGCCCTCATTTTTGCCTCAGAAAACATAAGGCCCTGTGCTGAGAATTTTGAGTGAAGGAGCGATCATCGGTTCATTTCCAGGGGACTTCTCTCTTGCACTCTCTTTCCTTTGGCTTAGTCATGAACTTGTCTATGTAATAGCAAAATTCCTAGGTTGCTGTTTGCCAACCCACCCTGGATAGTTTTCTAGTTCATACTCTGAAATAGGTATTTTCTTTCTTTGTAGTGTGATTGAGAAATAGCTTTCTGTCCTCTCCAGAGTGTCTGGGATAGTACTTTAGCTACAACAGGTGGATAATTCAATGCACATTGAATTAAATTTCAGTGCTATGTACCTGGTACGTTTCCTGTCTCTTCCTACTTGTTTTTGGCATGAGTGTCCAGCTTTTTCTCTACCATTGCACAAATGGGTAACATCCTCTTTCATGAACTTTCTTCTTCTTCTTTTTTTTTTTTTTTTTTTTGAGATGGGGGTCTCACTACATTGCCCAGGCTGACCATGAACTCCTGAGCTCAAATGATCCTCCCAAGTAGCTGGGATGACAGGTGCAGGTAGGCCACCCACTGCATCCTGGCGTGAACCTTCCATTTTGACAACACCTCCAAATATTTGTTTGTTTGTTTGTTTTTGAGACACAGCCTCACTCTGTTGCCCAGGCTGGAGTGCAGTGGTGCGATTGCAGCTCACTGCAACCTCCGCCTCCCAGGTTCAAGTGATTCTCTTGCTTCAGCCTCCCAAGTAACTGGGATTACAGGCGCCCACACCACAGCTGGCTAATTTTTGTATTTTTGGTAGAGGCGAGGTTTCACCATGCTGGCCAGGCTGGTCTCAAACTCCTGACTTCAGGTGATCCCCCCGCCTCCACCTCCCAAAATGCTGGGATTACAGGTGTGAGCCACTGCGACCAGCCCCAAATGTTTTTTTTTAAAGATACTTTACCAGTATGTGAGTCACAAAATATCCCATTGGTAGATATGGATGCACTATATTCTTTTATTTTTTCATCTCTACTTACTTGCCTGTTAGCTGATTTAAACTTCTGTCTACATGCGAAATAGAAGAGAACATTGAATGAATGAGAGACACCAGAAGTAATCGCAACCAAGGAGCAGCCATACTGGCTCTGATGCTCAGACACAGCCATGCGATGTTTTTAAACCACCACAGCCTCCCAAAAGTGCTGGGATTGCAGGCAGGAGCCACTGTGGCCGGCTGCATAGTCTTTATTCCTGGCATTTTCTATTATCAACATTACCTTGCATCCTGAAAGTTATTATGAAACGGTAGCAACACTAATAGGGTTCCGTTATTTTTAAACAATTAAAAAGTAAGTTCAATAAAAAATATGATTAAACTGCTCTGATTTTTTTTTTTGATTGCTCTTAGGTAATTTTTTCTGCAGGATGAATTAAGAGAAGAGACTACTTCCTCATCAGGAATGGAGAGTACTTTGTCAGCTTCCAATATGCAAGACCCTTCATCTTCACCTTTGGAAAAGTGTCTTGGCTCGGCTAATGGAAATGGAGACCTTGACTCTGGTAGGATTTTGTTTTCCAGATTCATCTGGCTTTTTGATGAATTGATCAGTATCTTCCTGAAAATATTCAGGAAACAATGGGGCAACATTTCTAGATCTCACATACTGTCTGTTCTTGGGATTTAAAGTCCTGTTTATAAGGATATAGCAGCTCTAAAATTTGGATAAAAAGTCTTATTTTGGATACCAGACAGAGAGGACTAGGTTATAGTGCAGCAACACATCACTTCAAAATCTCAGTGGCCGGGGGCAGGAAACGTTTATCAATCACACACTGCCTCTGGCTGACATCGGGGATGTCACGGCTCCAGGGAGTCATTGTGCACCATCCTGCAGGGTATGTTGTGAGTGAGAAGAGCAGGGTTGGAGGTCTTGGACCGGTAGTCACCTGCTCTGGCTCACAAGAGACAAATGCCATTTTTGCTCAGAACCCCTTAATGAGAAGTCAGTTAGTCACGTTTCTGCCACAGCAAAGGAGGTTGGGAAAAAGAACCTCCCTCCCAAGTGCTGGAGAGAGAGACAGGACATCGGACCTGCTTACATAGTAGATAGCAATGACACAGCATCTAATACGTTGAGCATGTCTGGCAGAAAAGCCTACAGTGTGAAGGAAGTGAGGTCATGAGGATTGGTGGTGAAGTGTGTCTCCCTTCCACAAATCTGAAAAACAGAATGGCTCCCTCCTCTGACTCACAGCCTTCGATTTAATTTTATTGATTGATTGATTGATTGATTGAGACAGGATCTCACCTGTTGCCCAGGCTGGAGTGTGGTGGCACAATCATGGCTCACTGCAGCCTTGACCTCCTGGGCCCAAGTGATCCTCCCACCTCAGCCTCCACAATAGCTGGGACTACAGGTGTGTGCTGCTGTGCCTGCTGATTTTTAAATTTTTTGTGGAGATGGGGTCTCACTGAGTCGTCCAGGCTTGTCTTTAACTGTTGGGCTCAAGTAAACCTCCTGCCTTGGCCTCCCAAAGTTCTGGGATTACAAGTATGAGCCACTACACCTAATCTTGATTGGATTTTAATTATTTAACTAATGAAGTTATAAGTGCTTAAATGCATCTTTTTCTAAATACTTAGACAACAAAGCGTTTATTTAAAAAGGATGCTTTTTTTTTTTTTTTTTTTAAGGGTTACATTGTTTCTACATACCAGCAAATTAATTAAGGACAGTTTAGCCCTCTGAATTGTAAACATTTGCTATGTTAAATTCCTGTAAAAAATGTTGCTTATCAAGTCAGCAGGTCATTGGACCATGGTCCAAAGAAGTCACAAAGTTTGTCTTCACATTTTGATGAGACCCCAGTCAAGGACAGATTACAGATTGCTCCACATCATTGAATTTATTAGATTACATTTATAGAATTATGTCTTTATATGGAAGAATACCCAGGAAACCTCACATGGGTGAAGGCCTTGCTGTGTTGAAAGATGTTAATGTCTGTTTCCAAATCAGCTCGGTTGTCCCTCTTTCAGATTTTTCTACACGTAGCCAGATGTGGGAAAACTTCTCCCACAAGTAGAGCTGAATCATTGTTTCTTCCTGGAAACATGGAAATTATTTTCTGAGAAGGCGTAACTGTATAGGCTGAAAATTCATCCTATTTTGTTTTATTTAAGTACAGATTTACCTGTTTAAAAAGTCTTTCTTAGTTTGCAGAGTGAAGTTATTTTTCCCCTTTTGGAGTTTCTGAGCTTTCAGGGTCTTTTTATAGTGTATCCTCTGCACACATCAGAAGAATATTACTGCATCGTTTCTCGTAGTATGTTTTCAAACCTGTTTGAAACAAACACTAACTGTGTATTGGCTTTTCATGTGCACACAGTTGCAGTGTTATCTCTCTTAAGTAGATTCTGAAACTCATTAATGATCATCTGGTGTCAGGAAAATGATTTGTACCAACTTCATTCAGGGTGGTTCTATGGTCGGCAAGTATGAGAGTGAGAATCATTATATCCTTGGCTGGGGGAGTCCATGCAGAAAGCCCACATAGGAAGCCCACATATATTCACATCACGATTGGTTCCTTGCTCTTGTGTGGGGGATGGCCTAAATCATACACAATGTTCAGATCTTTAATGGATATACTATTTCTAAATGGTTCTAAATTATCTTAACAGTTTTCAGATATAGGCCCAGATTTTTTTCCACCCCCATGTGGCTAATCTGTCCTTTCTCCTTCCGATTTCTGTGTTTACTTGTGCAGTGAGGAGAGTTTTAGATGACTCTACAGACAGACTCTTTAAAGAGGATACAAATTTAAAGCAGAGTCTAAGACAGGCGTCCCCAAACTATGGCCCGTGGGCCACATGTGACCCCCTAAGGCCATTTATCCGGCCCCCCGCCGCACTTCAGGAAGGGGCACCTCTTTCACTGGTGGTCAATGAGAGGAGCACAGTATGTGGCGGCCCTCCAATGGTCTGAGGGACAGTGAACTGGCCCCCTATGTAAAAAGTTTGGGATTGCCTCCTTTACAGAGGACAGTGGCTGGATTCACTCTAGAAACTCAATCTAGTTTTGAGCATTTTGATTCTACAAGTAGTTTATTATTATTTTTTACTAAAATCGAGTTTTGAGCATTTAAACTATTAAGTAAGCTTCTACAAGCAGTTTATTATTATTTTTTCCAATCTGCTGACCCGCAAAATATTTCCATTCCTGGAATCACTTGGTGAGGTATTTGGTTCTAGGGCCAGCTGGGACAGGCTTGGCTGTGCAGAATCCTAATGCTGAGGGTCTTCTCCTGGGAAGCGTTTTCAGATGGGATTTACTCATCCCACGTACAGGAGGAGGTAAACCCAGTGATCTTTAGCTGGTTCTGAATGGACTTGTGCCAATAGGTGTATGAGCACGAGTTCAGACTGTGTAAGAGGCACAGAAAATTTTAAGTTCTTTGCATGTGTTATTTCACCTAATCTTTCAACAGCCCACTGGCATAGCTGCTTTTATTGTCCCCATTTTACAGATGAGGAGACTGGACAACAAGGTGAAGTGACTTGGGTCCTGTGTTAGTAGGAAGATTTAATCTCAGGCCCTGTGAGTCTATGGGTTTGGTGCTCCAAAACTCTGGGGGATATGTGCCCCTTCAAGTGCACAGATGAGTCATCAGGAAATCCTGACACTTAAACCCACACTCACACCCACTCCACAGCCACACACACACACCCATCCATCCACTCATACCCACACTCACACCCATCCACACCTACACTCATACCTATCCATCCACCCATCCACACATACATTCCCACCCATTCACATACACACCAATATTCATACCCAGCCATTCACCCACACATACACACACACCCACCCACCCATACACACACACCCACAGCCATACACACACCCACAGACACACACAAGTTTGGGGGCACAGACACAGCTTAGATTCTTTGTTGTTCTTTCCTACTCTTTCCTCCTGTGCCACCTCCCCGTGTCCTGTGATACATTGCTACGGGGGTTCCCAACCCCCTGACCATAGCTTGGTACTGGTTTGTGGTCTGTTAGGAACCAGACCACACAGCAGGAGGTGAGTTGCAGGCAAGTGAGCTAAGTTTCATCTGTATTTACAGCTGCTTCCCATGGCTCACGTTACTGCCTGAGCTCCGCATCCTGTCAGATCCACGATGGTATTAGATTCTCATAGGAGTGCCAACTCTATTGTGAACTATGCATTTGAGGGATCTATGCTGTGTGCCCCTTGTGAAATCAAATGCCTGATGATCTGTCACTGTCTCCCATCACCCCCATGTGGGACTGTCTAGTTGCAGGAAAACAAGCCCAGGGTTCCCACTGATTCTATATTATGGTGAGATACAGAATTACTTCATTATATAGTACAATGAAATAATAATAGAGATAAAGTGCACAATAAATGTAATACATTTGAATCATCCCCAAACCATCCTCCCATCCCCTGTGTCTGTGGAAAAATTGTCTTCTATGAATATGGGAATTCACTGAGGTTGGTGGAAAAATATTAATGGAAAAGTAGTATACAGAGTTACAGAATATAGTCTCAAACCCTTTTGGAAGTCCTAAGAAGTTTCAGCTAAAGGCAGCCTAAATCCCCTTTACATTTAATAAGTAAAGCAAATAGCTAGGGTATGTGGGGGAGTTTATCTGAATAGCTTGTTTACTTCTGTGGTCTTAAAACTAAACTTTGAGCCAGATGGTGCCCTCAGGGGGAGGTTGACCAGGGATATACCCTCTAATGGTGTTTGCTTTGGGCAATGGAACCTGTGCTTTAGTCTTCAACCTCTAGTGATGTTGACTGAACCCTTTGTCAATTAAACTTTACAAACTAAATGTGAGTCTCACTGACCAGTGGTTCCAACTGTAACAAACAGCACTCTCCAGGGAGTCTGTAAGCTGCCTGGTCCCATAGCCAAACTGACAAAGCATAATATCTGTGTGTCAGTGTGCTTTATTGCTGAGTCAGGGTCTGCAGGACAGCCCCCGCAGGTAGTGACCGGGACAGTGGCACCCAGTGACTGTCCAGTGACCTGGACAGAGTCACCACTGGGCGACTCCACCAGTGGTGCGAAATGGGTGCCTAATTGTCTTCTACAAAACCAGTCTTTGGTGCCAAGAATGTTGGGGACCGCTGTGTTACTCTCTCCCTAGCAAGTGACTACACTCAAGGGACTAATGTTTTTCCTTGAGAAAATTATAGGGTGGTGTTTTCTCTTATGTTTGGTTTTTGCCACTGCCCATCCCTAGATGCTATGATGCTATGTTTCCTTGCAGTGATGCTCCCCGTGCTGGCCTCAGTCTTATTGCCAGTTTTCTTTCTTTTTTCTTTTTTTTTTTTTTTGGTAGTGGGAGGCCTTTTTCTAAGGAAAGCTTAAGTCACAGTTGAGATCAATAACCAACACCCAAGTCCTATAGATGAAATAGGCACAATATAAAATTACTCCTCCCAGGAACATCGAATATATGACTAGAATAAGCCCAGGGAGAGGAAATAGCCCTGGAGCAGCAGCCTCCCCA